TACCAGGACAGCTGAAAAGACATCTTACGTTTCCCCACCTTTTGCAGCAAATTAATCTGAGGAGTTGGTCAGCCCTGCTGTTTAACTAAGTTTTTCTTCGTAAGGAAGACCATCAAATGGCTTCGCCAAAATCCGGTCCACAACATTCAAACTGTCTGCCATTATGTGCAGCTTGCTACCTAGCTGACTCTCTAGCTGGAACTGGCGCGAGGCTAGAGTGAAGTGTGTCCGCCTTTGAGTGCTTTGTGACGGAGGAGGGGCTCAGCAGCACCCGCAGGACATAAACTGTGATAGACGTCAGAAAGAGTGATAGAAGTCTGTCTCCAAACACAAGCAGATACAATAAAACCCACCAGAAATAAAAACTCGATTTGTTGCTAGTCATTTTTAACAAAGAAAATGCAGCTAAGAGGATTAGGAAAGTCTATCTGGTTCAGCTCAGAACAGAAATGAAACTAAAAACTGCTCCCACTGAATGTTTACACTAAAATATCTCTGATTCGCTCATTTCGCTGTCAATCAAAAAGGGATTCAGGCTCAGACAGATCATCCAATCATCATGCAGAATCTGGGTGTCCGAACCCGCCCACTGCTCCATAGACCCCCAGAGATGCTCAGCGTCCGGGGGCGGGACAAAGCCCAGCATTTATCCAATGACTCGTCTCGTTTCGCTGCATTTTTTGCCTCACTGTTGAAGTCTCTGGACGCTCAGCGTCCGACTGTTTAAACACTGTGAAGCTGTGGGAATGAGGGAGAGGAAAGCTGCGTCATTACCAGTGATAAGAAGCTGATTCTGAACACAAGTTGAGCGCGTTATAGCGCATATTTAGTCTATGACATGAACACACAACAGTATATATTTAATCACTTATTTTTTTTACATTTTAGGGGAAGCTGAGCTTCCCTTGCAGTCTTAGAGCAATCGCCTCTGATCTCTACCCAAGTGATGGAAAGGCCAAAGAGTGGAGAAAGAAAGGAACTGCTGATAATTCAAAGCACACAGGCTCATGTGTGAAGCATGGTGCAGGTGATGTCATGGCTGCTTCTGGAACAGGCTCATTGATTGTTATGGATGAGGTTACTGATGGTGGCAGCAGAAGTGTTCAGAAACATTTTTATCAAGCAGCAGGAAAATGACCCAAAGCACACTGTCAACAAAACTAAGGACTTCATCGGGGGAAACAAGTGGAAGGTTTTAGAGTGGCCAAGTCAATCACCTGACCAGAACCCAATAGAGCATTTCACCTCCTGAAGAGGAGACTGAAGGGAGAAACTCCCTGAAACAAACAAGAACTGAAAGAAGCTGTGGTAAAAGCCTGAACAGCATCACAAATGAAGAATACAACAGTTTGGTGTTGGTGGCTTGAGGCAGTCATTGTGAGCAAGGGTTATACCACCAAATATTAAATGTTATTTACTTTAAGATCATTTGTTCCAGTACTTTTGCTCACCTAAAAATGCTGTGGTGTAAAACAAACCGTGATATACTGTATCCTAAGTTGCTGCCTATCCATCGAAAACAAAAAGTCAAAGAAAAGACATTTTTATAAAAGAAACTTTGCATAAAATGTGATTTTACCCATTTTGTCACATAAATGGCATATTTTCTTTTGAACTTGGCTCAACAAAAGTACAACAGGAAGTGACATCAAAGGGGAACTCTTTAAGAAACAGAACTCTGTAATCTTTGTTTGTTGAAACAATTATTTGAACTCTGACCCGTCTTCATCTCTCTGATAGAGACTCAAAATAACCTAAAGAAACATCAGATTATTCTCTACAGTCTGTGTCGTTAGCTATTTTATCAATGCTTTGTTCCAAGCAGATATTCCCCTTTGACATCACTTCCTTTTCTTCACATGCAAATATCTCAACAACTGTTCATCTCAGCAGCTGGAAATTATTTTTGCAATATGCTAATAATGTTAACTTTCCAATATTGCCTTTATATTTATTTTTAAAATTTCACGTCCCAGGCATTTTAACACGTCTACATGTAAATACCAGGAAATAAAAGCTGACATTCTGAACTCTTGTCTCATCTTTGGATGTTAAACCTAAATGTCTTCAGTGAACAACAAAAACAAGATCATTTGACTTGCTGTTCCAATACTTTTGGAGGGGACTGTATTTATAAAGCACGTTTTAAAAACAACAAGTTGTTACCAAAGTGCTGAACACAAAAGGCTGATCAGTTCTCTCTGATTGATGGTTGTTATTTAAAATAGCAGGAACTAAAACTGGGTCTATTATCTGACAGACTTTCTCCATCTCATCTTCTCTCAGGCTTCCTGGTACCGGCAGCGGGGTCGAGGTTCGGGTCTGCAGCAGGCCACACCGGTCACTGTGTGGTGATGCTGCTGGAAGGTCTGGAGAAGGCTGCGTCCCTAACAGGCCTGCTGGGTGACCTCTGCCACAGTCTGGACAACAGGGGCGCCGCCTCACCCCTGCTTCTGAACATGGGTATGACGGAGACCCCCCACCCCAGCCTGTGAAGCTGCACCGTTTGATCCAAATGTGACGGAATCCAAAACAAACTCATCCTTCTCCACTGCCCCTCAGGTTCACACCACTTCCTGGAGAACAACTTCCTGATCGGCACTCTGTCAAAGCCCCGCCTGCAGGGAGCAGAGCTCCGTCTGCAGCAGCATTTCCGCTGGGTGACCCTTCGCTGGGACCAAGAACCGCTGCACGGCCTGCTGGGGAGACACCTCCGCAGGAAGCTGCTCCACAAGGTCAGTCAGAGTTCGACCGTAGCTGCGCAAAAAAACTCACTTTTAGTTTTGTGCAATCAATTCCATGTTCATGTGCAACTTATGGTTTCCTTGGTCTCTCCTGTAGACGGGGACCGGCCTTTGGTCACCTGACGGTCTCATGGAGCGCTCAGTGTTGTGGGTCAGCCAGGTGTGGCAGCAGCTCAACGCTTGCCTGGCCCGTCTGGGAACCCACGAGGCTTTGCTGGGTCCGCAGCTCTTCCTGTCCTGCCCTGTGGTTTCGAACAACACACAGGCTGTAGTCAGGTTTGGATGAATCTCAACAAAAATACAATTCTGAAAAAGTTTGGATGTTGAGTAAAATGTAAAACATAAAGAATGAAATGCAATGTTTTTAAATCCATATTTTACTCACAATTAAACGTAATAAACATTAATTATTTAAAGTAAGAAAGTATAATTTAGGACAATAGTTCCCAAACTTTTTGATCTTCTGACCCACAAAATATTCATGGCAAAAACTTGTGACCCCAAATATTACTGGTCTGAGTACACAAACTTTGTTAATAACCCTAAAAACACAGGATTTTTGACAATCTAAACAGCTTGTACACAAATATAAATACTTATTTTTACTTATTTTGTGTTTTTGTAATAATTATAGAGAAAGGATTACATCAGCAATTATTTTATTACCCTTTAAATTAATTTCTGGAGATTATCCAAGGTACTTCATGACCCATAATTGGGTCCCAAGCCCAACTTTGGGAACCAAAGTGCAGTGGTTCCCAAACTTTTCAGCTTTTGACCCACAAAATAACAGTAGCAGAGACCTGTGACACCAGATATTTTTGGATGAAAAACATTCGTATCAGGTCAACAAAACATGGGCATAGTAACAATATTTTTATACTACATTAATCCATTTTAAATACACTAACCTCACTCCTTTGTAACAACTAAGGCAAAAATGTAATTATTTCAGAAAATCTTTTCAGGACCCCACCTTGATGTTTAGGGACCCCACTTTGGGTCCCGACCCCAACTTTGGGAAACACAGAATATATTTTAGTATTTCGCAACTTATAATCAAGATAATTATCAACAGTCAGTCAGAGGACTATTAGAGGCAGGACTATTCAACTAAACTGCTCTGGGGGCCACAGTTACTACAGGCCAACAGCACAGGGACCGAACATCCAGCAATTAAAGTTATTATGTAAATAAACCAAGTATTACAGATCTGTTACCTTTGAATTAGTTTATTTTGCTGCATTTAATCATGAATGCAGCATATAGAACCCTATAAAAGTAGTGATAATTAAACAATGCTTCCTATTTGACACAAATAATATTTTAACGTCTCTGATTTGCCAAATTTTTAAACCAGTTTTATTTTCACTTTCGTAGTTTTATCTTCAACTGCTTGTAATTTTAACTGTCTTGGGTTTTCATAGAAATTATTTTTTACCAGCTTCTAGCCAAGGTTCTGACGTTTCTGTAGATTCCAAACATGTCTGTGTTTAACTAAAAAGAACTCAGTAATTAAAATAGAAAATTGTGGGTTTGGGTTTGAGATGAATGAATCAATTAGCGGACCGAACTTTGGTCACTCATGGGCCGAATGTGGCCTGTGGGCCATCAGTTGAAGAGCCCTGACTTAGGGTTTAAAGAAAGCACGTCCCATACGGAACACTTTACTTTGACTTGCATTACGAGACATCTCGGCTAATAACGGACAGTTGACAAGTCTACCTCAGCTCTGAAGGCAGCCGGTGTCAGTCTAATCCACTCAGAGTCAACCCTCGGTACGGAGTGCTACGTTTGAGCTAGCGTTATACTCTCTGGCTCTTTAGGAGAGGAGGAATCAAATGATGTGCTGCCAACTAGTGGCCGGAGGCTAAAATACAACACAAGAATGAACCACTGGTATGAAAGTAAACATTTGAAGCCTCAATTAAAAATTATTACTGGGCTTTACTCAATACAGTATCAGGAAATGATATATTGTGATATTTCATTGAATCGATATTTTCTTACACCAGTAGTCATGAGAGAAAAGGATGTTTCTAGAATCAGTTTCAACACACATGACTACAGGATTGCTTGTGCTGCGTTTGCATCACAAGAAACTTAATGGTGAAGTTTAGAATGGAATTTTTTATTTAAAATATTAACAACAGAGCATTATATGCATCTATACACCAAATGCAATCGATAGAAAATTGGGCCTACTACACAGGACCTTCAACAACGTATACACAGCACATCATTTTACTGTTTCATGTGGTTTCAGCATCAAATAAGAAATAAGAAAAAACTGAGTCAAATCAAGTATTTCAAGAATCTTACCAAGTAAAATTTCCATACTCCATTGGCAGAAATCTTTGACTTAATTTGAGTCGAATTTTCAGAATAACAAGACAAATAATCTTACACATTCTGAAAACAAGATTATTATTCTTACACAATCAGTTCTTGTTTAGTAAATCAGTCTCAAAACCAGATCAAAATGACATTTTTGGTTGGATATAAGGTTTTAAAACTTGGTTAGGTGGACATGTTTTGCAGTGCAGAGATACCCAGACTTCCCTCTCCCCAGCTCGTCTGAAGGACTCCCAAGGCGTTCCCAGGCCAGCTGAGAAACATAGTCCCACCCAAAGCTCGTGACCATAGATGAGGGTAGGAACGTAGACCGACAGGTAAACCGAGAGCTTTGCCTTCTGGCTCAGCTCTCACTTCACCACAACAGACCGGTACAACACCCGCATCACTGCAGACGCAGCACCAATCTGCCTGTTGATCTCCTCCATTCTTCCCTCATTCATGAACAAGACCCTAAGATACCTAAACTCCCCCACTTGGGGCAGGACCTCCTCCTCGACACGGAGAATGCCACCGGCCCTTTTTATGTACAAATTTATGTAAGAAGTAACATTATCACTGTATGTGTGACTGACTGCAGAACACTTCATTCATTTCAATTCAATGCAATTCAAAAATAATTCAGTTTAGCACACTGTGATTTACACCATTAGAGCTGCTACCAGAGGTTGTGAGTGCAGATCTCCATTCAGAGTCTGACCATGGCAGTGTTGTGTTCACACAGGTGGCTGGCCCGACTCTGGAACGCCGTGGTCGTCCCCCGTGTAGAAGAGGCCGTTATCTCCCGGGTAACGGCCAGGCACGCCGCCGCCTCCTTTCCTACATCCTCTTCCTCGCTGCGACCGTCTCCTAGCAACTGTGGTCTGAGTGCCGGACAGCAGGCTGTGGTGAAAGCTGCCCTCAGCATCCTGGTCAACAAGGCCGTTGTGCCGGGCTGCCCCCTCCCTCGACACGGTGAGCGGGCGTCACGGACCACAAGTCGATGCTGAGCAGAGAGAAGGAGGCGGCTGACTCATCTACTTCCTGTTTTCATCTTCCACCCTCAGAAATCGACAGATACCTGCTGGAGTTTCGGGGGAGTTCTTTCCCCCTGTCGGCCCTCGGTTCCTATTCAGGAAGCGGTGGCAGAGGAGGGAGGAGGGCGCGGGACGGCGGGAAGCTGAGACGGTCCAACACCAGCCCCCGGAAGAAAGGAGGCCTCTCCTCGAACTGGGGCTGCGGTGGTTCCTTCAGAGAGGGTGAGATGGCCTGCAGTCCACAGGTTTCTGATTCATGAAGGCAGCATCCTCACACTCTGAGGCTTTCATAGAGTTCAGACAATTTTCTAAATATTGCTCAAACAGGCCGAGTATTTTTACCTCCACCAAGGAGGTAATGTTTTCGGTCGCATATTTCAGTCTGTCTGTCGGTCGGCCTGTCTGTGGACAACATTACCCAAAAACTTGTTGACGGATTGTCATGATATTTACAGCACATGTGGGTACTGGCCCAAGTAACACACCATTAAATTTTGGTGATGTTCCGGATCGCGATGCGGATACAGGAATTTTTTTCCTATTAATCCTCTCAGATCGGCAAAGCTGTGATGCTTTCACAGGGCTTCTGTAAAAAAACAGTGAGAGCTTTCAGTGTTCATTTGAACCGGATTACACAGCACGGACTTCAAACTTTATAAAAGTGATGTTAAAACAAGATGTAATGATGGATAAGTCTTGCCATAATGTGCACATTTTTACACATTTGGTGCACATTTAGAGAACGTCTTCTGACCAGGAAGTGCATGACTGCACCATGAAACCTATTTTCCCCATTTCCTCAAACACACCACATTATCGTAGGCTTGTAAACAGATCGATGAAGAATGAGGAAGAGGAGTGATGCGCTCAGGTGTGGTGCACTTCAGACTCGGAGGTTGTTTGTTTGTTTGTTCATTTTTATTATTTAAATGAGACCAGGGGCGAGGTAATGTTTTCGGTCGCGCTGACCCACTCGCTTCCAGAGCGACGGTACCAGGAAGCACTTTATAAACAGAGTCAAACCATTACAAACTCATACAAGGGGATAAAACAGACGTTTTACATGGTGAAATGTGACTGATGAAAACTTAGGAGCTTAATCCGACACCAGTTTGACGATGAATAATGTTGGGTGACGAGTCTGACTTATTTTTTCCCACATTGGACTCCACCGAGAAGAAATCTCATGCATACTGCTGCTTAAATGTTCACTACGTCAGAACTTATTTGGCAAATGTGTTTCCATCTCTGCTTTTGTGCATTAACTCTTACAGGATGGGGAAATTGGACTTGGCGGAGGTTTGCACTCTCCGAGTGCTTCTAGTTCATATTGATGACATCATCACAGAATCCTCTTCTTCATTTAAAGCATAAAGCCTTAAAGTGGACACATGATGCTTTTAAATCCTTCATATTTAAATCATTCATTTGAGGTTTATATCAAGTGGAAATGTAATGCTCTGGTCTGAATTCCTCCATATTGTAACTCCACAAGCCCTTCCCCTTTCTGAGGTGTGTCGCAGATTAACACATTTCAAGTCTCTTTAAATCTAAAGGTTCTTCACACCCCGCCCTCCTCCAGCTTCCAGACCAGCTCATTCTAGTTTAATACAGGTTTACACCTATAAAACGGCACAGAAACATTTTATTTAGAGGCTCCAAGTGCACAGCTAAATTTATTTAACGACTAAAAAAGTGGATTTTGCATCATATTATCCCTTTTAAATGAAAGGTTTTAGCTATAGTTACTGTAGCTCATTTCACCAAACAGTCAGAAAGTCAAAAACTAAATCCTGAACTCCTAAAGTACAGATCTCAGTGGGCTGCAGGTGTTGGACTAGTTGACGGCTCAGAATTTTGTGGAAAATAGAAGAGTGAAGCTGCAACAGAAAAATCACCAGAGTGTTTACAACCAAGAGACTAACAAACCGTACGTCCAAACTTTAATCAGCTAAATATTCGCAGCTTGTGTACAAAGCTGCTTTCTAGACCACGCACATTATTTCATTGTTTATCTCTACTAGAGATCAACCGATGCAGGTTTTTGAAGGCCGATACCGATTATTTTGATATCAGTCTAATTCAGTGGTTCCCAGACTTTTTATCTTCTGACCCACAAAATATCCATGGCAAAAACTTGTGACCCCAAATATTACTGGTCTGAGTACATGAACTTCGTTAACCCTAAAAACACAGGCTTTTTGACAATCTAAACAGCTTGTACACAAATATAAATACTTATTTATACTTATTTTGTGTTTTTGTAATAGTTATTTGAAAAATATTACATCAGCAATTATTTTATTATCCTTTAAATTGATTTCTGGAGATTATCCAAGGTGCTTCATGACCCATAATTGGGTCCCAAGCCCAACTTTGGGAACCAAAGTGCAGTGGTTCCCAAACCTTTCAGCTTTTGACCCTCAAAATAACAGCAGCAGAGACCTGAGCCTAGGGTTGGGCGATATTAGTAATAAAAATAATCACGATTAATTGTGGTATTTAGCCAATAACGATTAATTTGACGATTAATCCCCTGGACACCCTTATGTCTTAGTCAACTGACCAAATTAGTGGGAAAGATTTGGTTTTTTTTGTAAAAATCTGTTCCAAATTGTGTCAAAATTACATTGCAGAACTTTTTATATATTTTTTTATTCGTCATATTTGAAGTGGAGCGGAGCATCGAGCAGACTGACAGGAGAAATCTCCAGTCAGTCTGCCTGCTGGCATTAATCGTATTAATCGTCAAGTGCCAAAAAATAATCAGTTAATGTTTTTTCTGGCGATTAAATGCACATGACACAATTATGCCCAACCCTACCTGAGCCCTCAGCTATTTTTGGATGATAAACATTCGTATCAGGTCAACAAAACATGGGCATAGAAACTATATTTTTATACTACATTTATCCATTTTAAATACACTAACCTCACTCTTTTGTAACAAGTAAGGCTAAAATGTCATTAATTCAGAAAATCTTTTCAGGACCCCACCTTGATGTTTCGGGACCCCACTTTGGGTCCCGACCCCAACTTTGGGAAACACTGGTCTAACTGATACGTGCAGCCAATTTTTTGGGTCGACTCTTGAAGCCGATGCTGCTTTTTCTTCCTCCATTAACATGATAAAAATAAGAATGATAACAAATGTTACACAGGTCTCAATTTAAACAAAAAAGAATCATTTATTAAATGAGCCTTGTCTGGTGCAGGCTGAGTGAAGTGCTGCCACACAGGATTTCTTTTTTTTTCCAGCCATTTCTTAGAAAAAAATCAAGATTTATTTGATCTAATACTGCATATTCTGTTTTTATTTATATAGTAATCAGATTAGTATCTTTCCTTACATAAAATAAAATCACCATGTTCTAGTATCCCTGCATTTTTTATGCAAAAACAGGAACACAGAGAAAAGAAGACACACACACACACGTCTTACTATATTTGTGAGGACTTCACAAACACACACATACGCATGTGCACACAAGCCGCTCTGTCATTAACAGCTTGGTCCGAGAGGAGCCCCCCCACCCCCACCCCCGCGCTCCTTCATTCTATTGTGTGACTGTTAATATAATAAAACGTAATTATTCTCTCTTTTTTTGGGTGGGGGTGGGGGTGGCGTGCACTCTCCAGCTACGTATATTCAATATTTTATCCAAAAGGCACACACAAATATCCACCTTTTAGTCAAACATTATGCACATTTTTTATTTTATTTTATTTTATTTTATTTTTTTACTTTTCTTTATTTTGTATTTCTTATTAAACCTGTTTCCCACCTTATAACTGAGAATAACACTCAGGTGGGGAGGAGGACAGCTGTGATCTCTCTCTTCTCAGTCCATCTTAGACCCTTAGTGGTAACTCTAAACCACTTAAGAGTCCTCTGGAGCAGTCTGAACTTTACGGGAGAGAAAGAGTGATTCTTAGGCGTAAGAATTCTTGATAACTGGTGTTGTGGAAATATTTATTTAACAAAGACAGAAATACGTGGTCCATGAATGAAGGTACTCCATGGAAATGATCAGCTGAGTTTTATTTGCAACAACAGGAACACAGAGAACAATTAGAGCCATTACCCCTGCTCTCTGCTCCTGTTTCTTCTTCTCTGAGCCAGTTGAGGCCTCATATACTGTAAACTGTTTAACAAACACCATTATGTCATCTTAATAAAGCAAAATTTCATCCTAATGAAATGCTGGGTCAATAGAAAACACAAAGATAAACACAAGTGATATCTAAGAATGATTGTTGTTAGCAAATCTTGTTCTGACTTTAATCACTGATGAACAGCATGTCATAAAAACTTAGGTCATTAAAGTATGTCATGAATTACTGGCTTGAACCTAAAAGTATTAGTTCCATCACACTGGTACTTACAGTTAAGTCTGAGAGTAGGAGCAAATCTAAGAAATTTTCAGCACTTAAGTCTAAAAATCTAAACCAAGACGTTTGATAAATACGGGCCCAGGGCTCTGCAATTAGGGGTCTCTGCAGTACGTTAGTCTGTGGGCGGAGCTTAGCCTAACTGTAACTGGTCAGACTGACTTGTCTTGTGGGGCAACTTAAAAGAGGAAGTAATGATAATAGTACTGTCCATGTACACTTTAAAACGGAACAGTAACTCAAATAAAAATTATTGTGAACATGGAAACATAATTTACTGACTTCAAGCACCTTCCTGTCTCGAGTTATGATAATATTAATCTCTAGATTTAAATATTTATTTAAATCAGCTATATTTAAAGGTGCTTCCTGGTCAGATCAACCAAGCTGCTCCAAGCTTCCTCTTTTTTTAAGACCCTTCAGTAGAAAACAGAACTTAATATTAGTTTCTTCATCATCAGTGGCTTTTTTAAGAGAAGTAAATCTAGAGAAGAAGAAAAAGAAGAAATATAATGGGAAAGATTGAGAGAGAGACAACTCCCAGCTTCCTCAAAGCCCACCATCAATCTGACCAATCATATCTTGGGCCAACTCCTCCCACAAAACGAGAACCACCACCTCCTGACTGCAGAGCCCCCTACTCTGCAGTCTTCTAAAGGTCCACACAGGAAGTATGATTCAGATGTCTCTGAAGCTCTTCTAAAAGCAGAGTGAAGTCAGACGGTTGTTTTGGTTTCATTAAGTTGTTTTTGTTTGCAGGTTCTGTGTCCAGCTCAGACATCAGCTTCATGTCCAACGGCCACAGGTGGGTTTCTGTTCAGAGCAGGTGGTCTGCAGGAGCTGCAGCTAATGTGAAGCAGCTGTAACAGATCTGGTTCAGTGAGCTTAATGTTAACCTTTGTTTGTTTGTTTGTTTGTTTGTTTGTTTGTTTGTTTGTTTGTTTGTTTGTTTGTTTGTTTGTTTGTTTGTTTGTTTGTTTGTTTGTTTGTTTG